CGGCAATTTTCAAAAGCAATTTGCACGTCAATGGGGCGCATTGTGAAGAAAAATTAAAACGACGAAGGGCACGCCAGGAAGGTGACACGGCCCCACCTGTGCCGGTGTTTGGCTTCTTCCCCCCCCCTCCTTCTTCGCCATTTTCGGAACGCAAAGAACCCTTTCGAAGGGCTTGGGTTGACCGTCCAGTTGATCAAACATAAGACACTTTTAAACCAATTAGTTCGGAGACGAGAAAATAAAAGCATGGACTGAGCCTGTGCGAATCTCAGTACTTTCAATGGCTCCATTTACGAATTTCGTTCAAAGTATTGTTTTTTCGATGTAACCACTTATTAAATCCTTCTAATAATTTCGATGTCTAAAGACTAATTTCGTTGTTAATGTAGTTAACAGGAATAAGAGCGATGTTTGATGTTTGTGTGGCCCAGGGCAAAAAAACCCCCAAAAAGCCCAGCGTTTTGCTGGGGAAAATTCGAAAACTTTTTATTCCCCCCCCCCGGAAAAGGAAAAAAAAGGGGGGGGGGGGCAGTTTTGGGGGGCCAAGTTTTGGGGGGCCAAAGCTAATTTTTTAAACCATTTGGGGGGGACGGGGCTGGGTGGCCGTGTTGTGCTGTTCTGTCCCGGCCATCATTCAATCTCCCTTGCTGCCTACCAACCGTCATTCGTCTTCACCATTGGAGCAAGAGCCAAGCTGCTCACCCGTCCGGCGTCGCCGCGCGGGCTTACGCGCAAACCAAGTTGAGTGCGCACTTTTCAGGATTGCTTACTAGTGATTCCGGGGCACGCCAACGTCTGAGCCGGTCATTTGGTCAGTAAAGTGTTAGTGAATGTTTCCTGAAGCTTGGGAGGTGGCGGCGTGATCTTGACCCGCTGGATGGCGAGTTCGGCGCCGAGCCTACCTGGCAGATTGATGGGTTCCCCCACCAGGTATCTTCCCACTATAGGGAACATAGCAAGGGCCAAGCTCTTAGCTCGCGACCGGTCTCCCGGCATGTTGTGCATAGTGTAGTGCATGTACGTACCTTCATCGCACACGACTGTCTCTCGAGTTGACCCGAAAAAAAAAAAACCCCCCCTCGTCTTTCCCTCCGGTTTCTCCTAGTATTTTTGGCATTCGAGAAGGCTGTTTGTAACTTTGCTGACGTATATTCCATAAAATGGGCCACTGTTAAATTGAAATTTTGTTGCCGGGGAGAATTTAATGTTAGAGGTTACTAAACGAGCCTCTACAATTCCGTGGACGGGCTGTGCCGACCAGAGGATAAGAATTGAAAGGGGCCGTAGCCCCATTGTAGTGGGATGATTGCGGGCAGGTTTTAAATATTACTCTGAAATTGCGTTCGTTTTTATTAGTGTATTTATTTGCGGGGTCAGTGTAACAGAAAAATAAAAAATAGAAAATGGAACCAAGATATTTGTTGGCATATGGATAAACGTTGTTAGATATGTTTTCTAGGTCAGCTTGCATTTTCTGCTAACCAATTCAGATATGTAAGTTTTCACACGAAAGGTCTTCAGCAGGCCAGCCAAGTAGCTACTGACTCCGACGCGGAAGACTAGGCTCTCGGACAGGCCCGCCGATAAGTGGTAAGCTATACCACACGAAAATTCGTGAGTGGGTATTTTGGTCCTCTTGGAAGAGTCGAGTCAAACAGTATTCCATAAACGATAAATTCATAAATGAACGAAGATTGCGGATCAACTACGTGCAGATCGCTCAAACAAGCTCTCAAGTACAAGACGTTTATTACAAGTTTTATTAGCGACATGACTGAAGAAAATCAATTCGAAAACCTTTTGAAACAGTTTATATAAAAAAATTGCAAAACGCAGCAATGTTTTTTGTATTGCAAAAAAACTGCTGAAGTTACAAAAGATAAATTGATACCTTTGATGGCAATTTTAATTATAAAACATGGATGTTGAATTGTTTGTCTTTTGTATTTTCTCCCTGAAATACATTTTCGGTGGGGATGCAGGGCGGAGGGGTGATCCGCGAAGGTCAACTACTCACTCGACTAAAACACCAGCGCCGGCCCTGGCTCTCGTGGTCTAAGAGGTACGCACTTTCCACTACAATGGCCGGCCTTTCAAATATTCCGTGACAGCAGCGCTCTCCAGTAGCTCTAGTTCAGGCACGTCAATCGGCTCCCACCACGGGCTACTTGCCCATTTGGAGTTCGGTGCTCGTACGGGCTACGGGCAACTTCCACAGACTTCCAGACTTGTTTCCCTTAAAATCCAGAAAGGGGAAAGACAAGTATCGGAATGTCGTGCGTGGAAAGAGCTCGCGGGCGCCAGACGGTTAATAGTGGCTTTCGTACGAAAAATGATGTTTAGCCAGGGTGTTTTATATTCTTCACTACTTATTTCTATTTTGATGTTTATTCTTCGTCACTGGTAATGACCTTAATATTTTGTTTAATTTATTTAACCGAATCAATGAAATACACTTACAGGCGAAGTGTTAGCTTTAATTAAAAATCGATAGTTTGGCGTCGAAGTATACAAGTAACTGTAAGATTATGGCACCGTCATAACCCTGGATTTGTAATCCCGAAGAAACATCTCCACTGGAGTACGTCTATGATGATTGGTTCGTTAATTTTGTGAAAATTAATATTGTACAAGAGAATTAAGAAGAAGGAGCAGAGAAGTGGGACAAAAAATTACTGTCTGGTTTATGGGAAGGACAATTTTTATTGTATTTCAGTAATAATGTCAAATAAATTAAACAAGTCTGCTAGTTTAACAGTGGCTCGGCTCCCAGACGGACAGGCTTTAACAGTGTATAATTATTGTATCTTATATTATTTGTCTGTTAAATTTCTAATCTGAACGTGAAAGTTCATGCTTTTTTATATCACTCTTTAGTGAACAGGAGTTTCAAAATCAAGATTTATTTTTGATTTCTTTTTTTTTATATTTTTACTCTCAATTGACATTTTATGATATTCCTCTCGCCTTGAAAGAGAGAAATGGGAGATTAATGTAGCTAAAGTAGGTTGACAATTACTGCCAAGAAATGTCACCCAAAGACTGTCGTGGGGTCCAGGTACTATTTCGCGCAAGTTTTCTGATATTCGCTCAACGGGGGGGTGCTGGGAGAGGAGGGCTCTGGCTACGGTTCACGGGGCTTTGATAAGGAGCGAACCAACGCCATGAACTTCTCACGCCAAAGAGCTGCCACGAGAAATTGGTTGATTGTTTTGAAAGTAACCGAGGGTGGTTGTTGCCAGTATTGTAAATTGGTACGGTGCCATTCCGAGCCGAATCTAGTAATCCTCAAACGTGCTCGTGCGTATTCGCGCTGAGTGATGAACTATTGGGAGCATCAAGAAAACTTGCGCGCAGTTAATTATCCGAGTGACGTACTGCCACTCTTAAGAATTTTGTACAACTTTACTTTTTTTTTAATTCGCGCCATTTGGTCTGGCGGCAGTGCCGCGAGCCCTAGTAGTAAGCTTTTAGTGTGCGCGCCCTGGTCATGTCCTGAATTTGTACAACCGTTTACTTGTTTTTAAATCTTCGTGCCAGTTGCTTCTGGCGCCAGTGTCCGCAAGCCCTAGTAGTAAGTTTGTTTAGTGTGCGCGCCTGGTTACGTCCCTGAAATTGTACCCTTTGACTCTGTTTTATTATAATCTCTGCGCCAGCTTGTCTGGGCCGCAGTGCCCGCGAGCCCTAGTAGTAATGCTTTTTAGTTGTGCGCGCCCTTGGTTCACGTCCTGAATTTGTAACATACCTTTAAACTTGTTTTTTTTAAAAATCTCGTGCCAAGTTGCGTCTGGCCGCAGTGCCGCCACAGCCCTAGTAGTAAGCTTGTTTAGTGTGCGCCGCGCCTGGTTACGTCCTGAATTTGCTTACCTTTTAGCTTGTTTTGTATAAATGCTCGCGCCCACTGTGTCTGGCCGCCAGTGCCGCGCGAGCCCTAGTAGTAAGAGTTTTTAGTGTGGGCGCGCCCTGGTCCGTCCGAAATTTGGTAGCTTTAACTTGGTTTTTTAAATCTCGCGCCACTTGGTCTGGCCGCAGTGGCCCCGCGAGCCCTTAGTGTAAGCTTGTTAGTGTGGCGCGCCCTGGTCACGTCCCTTGATTTGTGACCAACCGTTACTGTTTTTGTAAAATTCTCGTGCCAGTTGCTCTGCGCCGCAGTGCCCGCAGCCCTAGTAGTAGCGTGTTAGTGTGCGCGCGTTCCTGGTCACGCGTGGCCTATCTTGTTTTGCGTGTGGCCGCAGGGGCAGAGCGGCGCGGCGCTGCGCCAGGACGACCAGGACAGCCGCCGCGCGTCGTTCGCTGCGGACTAATCCCGCGCGCCAAGATCAGACGTGTCAAGATGACCGTTCGTCATCGTCTTCGGTAGTCAGCCAACCCTGTTCCCTGCTACTTAATCTAGTCACAGTTTGCTCTTTCGCGAGCAAAGTGTGTGGAGTCGCTCCTTTATGGAAAATTACAAAACTTCACTGTTTACAAGTTTGTTGTTGTTGTATTTTTTTTCCTGTCTTTTTTTTTTTTTTTTTTTTATAGAATTTTACTTAAGGAGGTAACCGGAAACAAGATAGGCAAAAGTGCCTTTGTGGACCAACATTTTTTGATGTTGAAATCGTGAATTTAAGTGGTTGAAAAAAGACAGGTTTTTGGACGGAAAGTAGAAATCAATTTCGTATTTGTATATAATCGTGTATAAACGCCTAAAAATAGCTCTGCGAAATATTTTTAGTCATCTGTAAAAGTTCGTAAGGATTGATTTAAAGTCAATATTCATTGGCTTAATGTGTGAAAAAAATTAAAGTTTATTAAGGATCTAAAAACTGTTTGTTGTAGTTTTTTTTCGATTTTGGTAGGTAGTACTGCTGGTTGTAAAATTGATTGAAATTTAGCGAAATACTGTTTTTTTTACTACGAATTCAATTTCAAAATAAATTTTTTATCATGTCCTGAAAAGGTTGTACTTGCGCCTGACTATTGTCATTACTCCCGTTTACACACCATGTACGCACATGTCAACTCTTAAACCGCAATCACCCTTCATCAACAATGCTTGAACATTTTACTTTTATTCGTTAGAAAGGGGCGCTGTGCCTAGGCACTCGTTGAATGTTGTATTATAGTGTATGTAGAAGCCCCAGAAATAATATATATATATATTTAATATAGTTATAATTATTATATTATATGTTGTGTGTGTGTGGTGAGTGTGTGAGTGTTGAGCACAGAAGAAGGGAGAGAGGCGGCGAGAGACAGGACAGAGGCAAAGAATGGAAGACGAGAGAATTGGCACCTCAGCCTTTGATGCGGCGTCACCGCCGGACAGCCCAGATGTATGACTGAGGCCCCGCCAGAACATGAGCATAATTAACATTGATTTGAATCATATCCTCGATCTCAGGAAGATATGAGGCTGATTTGTTTTAAGCAAAAGGTTGCGTGGAAAATAATTAATTAATGAAAATGCTTGGATAGTTTAGTTCAAGAGTAACTTATCATTTACAATTCAGGGGTGAAATATGTTGTACTATGCGTTTGATGGGCATTATGTATATAAATTGCAGAAAAATAAATGACCGATTCTTCTGTCATTTCGTAATTAAACAAGATAACTCTTCCAAATTTCAAAACGATATTTCCACAATTTTTCTTCTGCAGCAGCAATTCGTCGGTACGAGAAGCTAGAAAGAATTACATACAATAGACATGAGTAAAGCTAGATGATACTTTATAAATGAATTTCCAGAAGAATATTCTCAAAGTTCTTCGGTTTATGAATAAACATATCGTAGGATGTTAATTTAGACTATTTTGTAGTCTATACGAATAAGAATGAAAAACCTGAACAACTTGCAGTATCAAGAGCAGTTCGTATAGTATGTGAGGGCGTTAATTCATAAACTTGTCGTGATTTAACCCTATGCTGGAAAAGAGGGAAGAGAGAGAAGTTGAGAGGGAGATAAGCTCTTAAATAGAAAGAACAGAAAAGAAACGAAATACGTGAGAGTGGCCGCAGGCGAGCGGCGCGCGCTGCGCCAGGACGACCAGGACAGCCGCCGCGCGTCGTCGCGCGGGCTCATCCCGCGCGCCAAGATCAAGACGGTCAAGATGACCTTCGTCATCGTGTTCGGTGAGTCAGCCAACCCTGTTCCTTTCTACTTATCTAGTCACAGTTGCTCCTTTCGGAGGCACAGTGTGGAGTCGCTCCTTTATGGAAAATTACAAAACTTCCACTTTTACAAGTTGTTGTTGTTGTTGTAGTTGTTTTTTCTTTTTTTCTTTTTTCTTTTTTTTAAAGAATTTTACTAAAGAGGGTAACGGAACAAGATAAGCAAAAGTGCTTTCGAGTATAACATTTTTTTAAATGTTGAAAATCGTAATTTAAGTGTAAAAAAGACGAAGTTCGCCGGAAGTAAATCAATTTCGTATTTGTACATAATTGTGTATAAACCCCTGAAAAGAGTTCTCTAAAAAGCAGAAAAAATCTTTTATCATTTGTAAAAATTCGTAAGGATGGTTAAAGTCAATATTCATTCGCTTAATGTGGTGAAAAAATGTAAGTTTATTAACGTTCTAAAAACTTTTTTTTTTCATTTGTAGGTAATACTGCTGATAAATTGATTGAAATTTAGCGAAAACTGTTTGTTTACACTTCAATTACAACTTTTAAAATAATTTTTGTTCATCCCGAGGTGTACTTATGCCTAACTCATTTCATTACTCCCTTTACAGACCATGTCCAAAAATGTCAATCTCTTAACCGCATCACCCTTCATCAAACCAAATGCTTGATCACCGCAGTCCATTCAGTTGCTTCTATCTCTCTCCACCTAAATATTGAAGTACGTGTTTGTTGTACATGGGATATTCCAGAATGGTGTGGTGTATAGATAAACCAGTTTTGCAGAGAGTATTGATGGAGGGTAGAAGTAGTTTAATAAGAATTTGTGAGGTTATTGAGAATGTTTTGATTTAATTCTGTAAAGTGCCACTTGTTTTACGACTAATTGAGTATTTGTTACAAGTTCAAAAATGTTGGAATATTTGAATGCAATGCTGAATTTCTAATATATTTTTTTTCACAATTTGTTCCATTGTATATTTAATTTGTTTTAAAGCATTTCTTTATATCTAAAACTTTGTTAACTTTCGATGGATTCTGCAGATTCATAAATGCTGTTGCTCATTTAGCATGTAGATAAGCGGTATCTTTACTAATTATTTCTTGATGAGCTGGTATGGCCTCTTTAACGAAAGTTCTTGTATCATTTTACACTTTTATGTTTTATAACATAAATATCATAATCTGGTAAATTGCTTCATGTATTTTCAAATGTAGATTTGTAATGGTTGCTATCCCTCCTGTTTATGTTACTTTTAGTACATGTTTCTTCGCCTATTGTGTAGTACAGTTTTAGCGTGTTCTTCGCTTTTGTTATTTCTCCGTAGGAACATTCCGCAGTATTGGAATCTCTCCACGTCCGATTTGATTTTGTTTTACTTCGCCCGAAAGTCTTAATCAAAATGCTATAAAATATGCTGGGGTCTTATGCGAACGGATTTGACACGTAGAAAACCGTACCTACAACAGATAGAATTTTTCAAAGGCAATTTCTTAATTGGAGAACTAGAGCAACTTTCTTTTTCTTATTTTAAAGATGTTTTAACTTAAAATCAGTTCACATGTTTTTAGGTTGCTAAACTGAATATGACAATACAATTCTACAGAACATTTTACTTTTATTTGGTTTGACAGAGCGCTGGTGCTAGGGGCACGTTGAATTTTTATAGTGTTGTAATGAGACCCCAGTATGTGTGTGTGTGAGTGTGCGTGTGTGTGTGTGTGTGTGTGTGTGTGTGTGAGCGAGAGAGAGAGAGCGAGAGACAGACAGACAGATAGAGGAAAGAGAATGGGAAGAGGAGAGAATTGGCACCTCAGCCTTAGATGCGGCGTCACCCGGACAGCCCAGATTATGACTCTGGCCGCAGAAACATACATCATCTAACGAAGATATAAATGCTGACTTTTTTAACAAAGAAGGTGAAAAATAATTAACTGTTGAAATGCTTGGAAAATAGTTTAGTTCAAGAGTAACTTATCATTTACAGTTCAAGGAGAAACATGTTGTACTATCGTTTGATGGACATTATGTATATAAATTCAGGAAAATAAATACCATTCTTTCTGTCATTCGTAATTAAACAAGATAACTCTTCCAAATTTCAAACGATATTTCCACAATTATTTCTTCTGCAGCAGCAATTCGTCGGGTACGAGCTAGTTACATACAATAAACATGTAAAGCTATGTACTTTTTAATTGATTTCCGATATTTCTACAAATTTATTCGTTTTGATAAACATTCTAGGATGTTAAATTTAGATATTTGTAGTCTATAGAATAAGAATGAAAAACTGACAACTTCTATACCAAAGCAGTTCGTTTGTATGTGGTAATTTCATAATTGTCGTGATTTAAAGCCCTGATCTGAAAAGGGGAGAAGATTAGAGGGAGATAAGCTCTAAATAGAAAGAACAAAAGGAACGGATATCGAATGAACATGCATTTTCACATCACTTTTTATCATATCTTATCAAATATCTCGCTACACATTTCATTTTAAATTGTATTCCGTTACGATCTCGTAACAAATATATTAAGTATGATTTCTACGTTGTGCTCGATAACGGTACAAAGAACTGTTCGGGAATCCCGCATTCTGTAGTGGTATGTATTGCTCACGTTATTGGTAATACACTTCTAAAGTTTTTCGTTCCAAATACTATATGTTTAATGTTCGTTATACTGTTGAGCCTCGTCTAGGTGATTTCCTTAACTATTTGGCGAAAGTTTTTTTTTAAACCTACAATAAATATTTCATGCTCCCGTTTGCATCTCTAATGAAGACTTCGAACATATGTGAAACAGAGACGTTGACATCCACACATAGTTTATAGTTTTCCATCAATTGATCTGAACTCCAGAACCTGTAATTGAAACCAACAATATAAAAATACATCAGTGCGTCATTAAAATCAGTTGTTACTGATAGAACAGGGTATATAAAGCGAGCTTGATTATAGAAGGGAACTTTTGCCATGTTTCAAACCTACCTTGTTGAAGCAATTCTTACAACCCCATCTCATACAACCTACTCATACATACACCGATAGTTATGATTAGGGGGAGGATTTTAATTTAATGTGTTTTCTTTTCACTTTAGAACAATGACTTTTAGTATAGACAATCGTTTTATATTATGACAAAAGGAAATGACCTATTTTTATTTGTTTTGAATTTTCTTCGATTTCCACTAATAAGTCATTTTTTAACCGTTTTCTGTCAATTTTAATCCATTTTTCACTGATTTCATCGATTTATTATAATGTTATTGGTACTTGCTTCAAATAATATTTACGAGATGCAAGAAATGTTCTTCACAGAAGTCTTGAGGAGCCTTATTCGATTTCTTCGCTCAGAAATTATGTCAGCCGCAGTGAGTATGAAATCTAAGGTTCCTCTGATGCACATCAGCGCCATTGTCGATTCGGCGGATTTCTTAAGACAAAGATTTCCTGGTCCAGTCCAAACTAAAAGTTTGCAAGCTGGGTTCACTTGAACGAAGGGAAGGAACCTCGATTGCATCAGTAACATAACCAACAGCTTGAGTTATTCATCTGATCTGATATTGATATTCTTTGTTTCTAGGAAATTTAAAAACATTTTAAGATCATTTTATTGATCATTTTTGGTGATGTCAAAATCCACCCTCTAGTTCTGATGATTAACCAGTGTGCTGTACTGAACAAAAGTATAAACGGGTTTTCACTCTGATCTAAAATATAAAACCAGAAGTAGCTCAAAAATATAGTGTCAAAATAATACTGCATTCTGAACCAAGCTGGGGTCATTCATTATCAAGTGAGGGTGCGTGGCAAGTCGAAATGGTTCTTCTTCTTTTTATTGTTAGTGTTATTACTCAACAGTTTCTCAGATTTGAAGAAACGCATCACCTATCTATTAGATCTACGATTCAATGAATTAAGCAGAAAACATTCAAGAATTAGTGTAGATGAAAATGGCTCGGAAAGTTGGGGTATATCTATCTTTTGAGCTGCAAGTTTGCACGCTGAAAATAAGATATGTGTAGTACACATGAACACAAATATGTATAAATTGTATTTATACCTAATTCAAAAATTTACGGGCCATTACGGGGTCCATCATCCATGGAGGGGACGCAATTTTGCCGATCGATTTTTTACCAAAGCCAAGACTTGTAATTAATTTTTTAGTTAATGGCCATTACAATCAATTTTATTTTTAAAAGGAGTGCACTCGCGTGAATGAAATGTGGATCAAACATGTGAATGAGTGATGTTATTTGGATTTGTTTTCTTTCAAGATATGTTGTGTTGGTATATGCAAAGGGTACATTAATATGTGGTGTTATGTTTTGTACAATAGAAAGTTGATGTATGTACGGTGGAGAGCAGAATTCGCCAAGTAGCATTTCGGAACCTTGTTTATAAATGAATAATTGCTGATCATATTGACAGTATTGTTAAAAATATTTATGTATGTTTAGTAGGTAACACAAACCAAATGACACGAGAGAGAATAAAAGAGAGCCAGGTTCCCAATTCAATATAATAATATTTCGGTTTCCTGTATAAGGGCGGCTTCGCGAATGAACACCAAAAATTCTAAATTTGTACTGTAGGAGATAATCATGATACTTTCATGATTTCGTCGAAAAAATCAAATACTGTAGAGTTGACAGTCAACATAAATAGTTATTCGCTTACAGATTTTTACTCGCTCAAGTGTGGGGTGAAATAGTTGAAAGGGTTAATTGTTAATAGATTTTAATTCTCAGGTTTTATTCCTTTACAATTTTTTTTCTTTTCGAATGAGCCACTATAGGCTACGTTTATTCAACTTTCTACCTCCTTCTTTTATTTTTCTTTCACATCTCTTTCATTCTGGCCACATACGAGTACTTCCCTTTCCTCCCCTTAGTCCAAATTGCCCCTATTTTCTTTTTGGCTTGTCCACAAATCCTGGGAATTTTTTCAATTCTCATTGAAGCTCAGTTATATATGGAGGTGACTTTGAGCTCCTCCAAGTCCTTTTCAACTTTGTTAAAATGTATTATTATTATTATTATTATTATTATTATTATTATTATTATTATTATTATTATTTCGAAGTATTCGAGAAGTGGCACGTATCAATTGAAATGGGAGNNNCCAGAGCCACCCCCGCACCGACCCCGCGTCGCTCCTGCTTCGTCCCTTCTCTGCTCCTGCCCCGCCTCATCCCCACTCCTCTTCCTTACCCTGCCACGCTCCCTCCAACAACCCCCAAACGCTCCGCCGGCGGATCCTCCACGCACGCGGGCGACACGTGCATGTGCCCGGCTGCTCCCGCGACTAAGCCGAGCCTTCCGCGCTGCTCCGCCGCACTGCTCCGCTCCTCCGGAACGGAAATTACCGGATTAGGACGATGTTCGGTTAAGACTCACGGGCGCAGCGCGTCCACAACGGTATGGAAAACACAACCCAGCGCACGCCGGCCCCAGCTCCGCATTCATGTCTCACACCTTTTGTCACTTTTTACTTGTCGTCGGTTTGGGATGTTTTTCTCCCTATCGTAATTATATTTCTTCGTTATTTTGTACTTCCTTCTTTCCAATTTCATGCTAGGTGACCTCTTTCCTTTTTCTACTTTTTTATTCGAACTCTTCGTATTTTATTACTGAAACGAACTCGTCTTTTGATTTCTTTTTATCCTTTCTCAAGATTTCTCCTTTTTGTTCTCCCTCAATCCCTCTTTCGTCACATCGCAAACTGCTCCATCTCGATTACTTTCAAATCACTCGGCTTTCTCTGCTGAAGGTATTGACTCTTAGATACTAATGACGCTGCAGTAGATTACCATCACCACTGCATCCATCACCACCGCCCCAACCGTGACCATGTTTCTGTAATGAGCTTCTTTGACTCCGTCATAATGCCATTGCCACCCAATCCCGAAGGCGCTGTCCCCCCGCCGCACTTTACCCACTTGAATCTTCTTGTGCCGCTGCCACGGCCGCCCCGCGTTGTCCACGTCACTATTGCCACAACTCCCAGTGCCTGCCCGCCGCCCGCGGGAGCTCCAGGCCGTCGCCAGGCGTCGGCAGCGCCCGACGGCGCCACGGAGCGGTATTTTGTCGGCTTATCACATCTGTATGAAGATTAAAAAACGGCCTTGGGGAGAACAAGTGGAGCCTCAACGCGGGTGCGGGGACGATAACGTACGATAGCAGTTGCCCAGCCACCCACGCCAATTCACGCGCTCGCCGAACACACTCCACCGTACTCGTCAACAACTGCATTCGCCCACCATGCTCGCCAAACACGTTTTCCTTCAACACTCGCCCACCAAGCTCGCCAACCGCACTTGCCGATCATGCTCCCTCACCCCTGTCGCCCACCACACACGACCACCGCACCCGCACTCGCCCACCACGCTCGCCCTCCACGCTCGCCCTCCACGCTCGCCCTCCACGCTCGCTCACCACGCTCGCCCACCACGCTCGCCCACCACGCTCGCCCACCACGCTCGCCCACCACACTCGCCCTTTTCACTCGCCCATCATACGCGCCTAATACGCTTGCCCATCACAAATTCTGATTATTCAGTTTTCGAGTTAATATTCCCGATTTAATTTACCCACCGCTAAAGAAGCTCTAATGAATGAAATTATAACAAACGCTTACAATAAATTACATTACATTTCGAACAAAAAGCGCATCATAAACAATATCAGTGATTTTCACCTTAGAGAAAAATTGTAACCTATAAATATTGACGGTGCACCTCTGTACTCCTTCCTTGATAATACTTGGGTTAATGTCTTAAGTGATGAAGGTATAATGTATAGAACGATATATTTTTTTCACATAGCGTAACGGTGGGAATCGCACACTGTCTATAGTGTCACCTACTACCAGAGGAATACTCCTCTTTGCCTACGGTTGGTCTGGAGTTGCAGGGACCTAGAGTGCAAGCAGCTGTGCCGGCTTTCTACGTTATCTTGCTTTGTTAAATCATCTTCAGAGCAGTCAGCGTTTTTGGTCCCTATGACGGAAGATATCCCGCCGTTCATTATCACATCTGTATCTTCATCAGAGGAAAAAAAGTATCTAGGGAAGGCGACTTCTGGGCTACCGACTTCCTGTCAGCGCTCGTTCTTTGCTCTCAGAAAGGCGACCGAAGAGCTGAAGTTTCGTTTACGGAAAAGAGGCGTTCGCCCTTGACGGCGGCCGTAACAAGCAGAGTTGCAGCCGTTTGTGACCGGAGCAAAAGCTCGTTGAAATAAACGGAACGAAACGTAAAGATAATTAGATACGGGACTTCTACTATGTTCTTTTACTTCTCTGGGTGTTTCCAGTAAAAGATTCAAAACATGAGTAGTCAGTCCGCAAAAAGATAAAAAATTAGTATAAATGTTTCGCGTATATGAACCATTAACTGTAACATTCTAAATGTAGAAATAACCTTGTAGATATTATATTTTGAAGTTTTGAGTAAAACCAATCCAGAGTACAAACGTCTTATCATTAAAAGCCACGATAACGGCTCTCGAACACGAGGTTCTGCTTGTGACGAACACATTGCAAAATGTTTATCAATGATCTTTCTCTTCTGATATATATTTCTCTTCTGATATATATTCTTGATTATTTCAAATGAAGAATGTCATGTGTTGCTTCATTTGAGGAACCAGCAGAAAAGATTGGTCACTCCTTAAACGCTTTCTATTGGCACACGATTACAGGGTTTTAGCAAACGCGGGCATACCTTTTGACATACGATACCGCACTTTTACCGAAAGCAGGCATACCTTTTGACACACTATTCCGGAGTTTTAGCGAACTTGGAAACACCTTTTGACACACGATTCCGCAGTTTTTGCGAACCCAGATATACTCAGGGAACCTGTGGAACCACTGCGCACCAATGTGTGCTAAAACTATGGAATTGTTCGTTAATAAGAAACTTGTAAAACGAGTATTAGCAACACTGCCCGCCCGAAGGCAGGGAAGGATATTAAATCAGGGCTGCCAAAGCCGGAGTGGCGTGTCCTTGGCGTGCCCTGGTCCAGATCTTAACTGCGAGCAACAGGAGTTGCCTGCTGCTTGTCGAGTCAGGCTGAACTGAGGGGATGTGCTCTGGCGTGATCGACTCTAGTCTAGTGAAATGTTAGTGGTACACTGGCAGATGCAGCAGTCCGCCGTGGGCAGTTGATCACCAATTTTCGAATTTGCTCAGCTCTGATTTAGAACGAAGCCGTGGTCGAGAGGCGGCAAGGACTTCAGACTTCAGCGGTTTTCTCGCTGTTTCGCTGCTGCCCCTTTATAATAATAATAATAATAATAATAATAATAATAATAATAATAATAATAATAATAATAATAATGAAAAAAGAAGATGAAGAAGAATATTTTTATTCCTAGTGACGCTCAGGCCGTAAGTCCTGCTCTTCTGCCTTACAATTTAAATATTTACGTGTACATAATTACAATTGAATCGTTCTGGTACTGATATAAAATGATGACTGACATTTTACGTTACTTAAAGTGTAATGGTCGCATTAGCTAACAGAGATGTGCTGCACATAAATAATGAAATATAAAGTATGAATATGTTTTCATTGTCAATTTTCTGGACTCTAAAACTAATATGATGTAAACAGAGCCCATGTTTCTTATTTACAAGGAGGGCTCGATAAGTTTCTTTCACAAAATGACATCATCTCCTTCACCAGAATGCCTCAATCGTGCACAAATTACTAGAAAAAAAGGAGGGCAACTTTTACATTTATATCTGGGATGGATGCAACACTAGCGACCATCCCGGCATACTCCTCAAGCAATTGAGTATATACAGGAAAACCTGAATCATGATGGCAGCTTAGGGCCATCTCCATCTCCACCCCGGCGTGGATGATCCTGGCCATTAATTGATTGTCACTGTAGTGCCTCTGACCGGGAGGATATAGTGTTCGAGTTCGGTCAGTGGAAGTATTTTTGACACCAGCTAAATTAGGTAGGTCGAATTCACCAGCGGTGTGGAAGAGAATTCTATCGGCCAAGTGCTCTAATCGGTAGTTTGCCGTGTTTTCTCCGATCAATGCTCGAGAATGCTGGAGCAGTACCCTAACAATCAGGCCACGGACTGCGCGTAATTTTTCCTCCCTCTTCCTTGATTTATCATCACCCCTTCCTTACATACAATTGAACTTACGTACACTACACTACATGACATGTCGGGGCACCGCTCCAGCCGGGACAAGCTCTAATTTCCAGACCGGTCTCCCGGCATGTGTGGTAGAGTAGTGAATGTTGGTAAAAGTGTGCGTGGAAGGGGAGAGGATAGGAAAAGGAAGAGGAATGAAAAATCGCGCGCGGTCCGTGGCCTAATTGTTAGGGTACTGCTCTGGTATTCGCCTGGTGTTGATGGGAGAGGCTACGGTAAACTACCGTTTAATCGGTATGCCGGAGCAGTATTCTAACATATGGGCCAGGGACCGCACGCGAGAGCGACTGAATTCGACTTATCTCACAAGCCACTGTCAAAGAAAATCTTACACTGTCGGCACTCGAACCTAGAACCTCCCAGTGAAAGGCACTGCAGTGACATTAGTTGATGCACTGAACCACCTCTTCCGTTTAAATCTGGATAAATCATCTGTTATTATGACTGATATTTCGGCTCAAATTAAACTTCAGAGTATTCTAGTCCTCACTTTAAGACGTTTGTGCAAAATGTAGGAAATATTTCAAATATTTTGAAAGTTTGTGACTTAAAAAGGGAGCAAAACTTGGAGAGCTGATAATTTGGAAATAGGGTTGTTGGAGAAATGGAAGTCATAATACTTACAAGCATCGTATCTCGGAAGGAGAACTAGAAATATAAATTTTGAAGGTGCATCACGTGGGTGTGCCAATGACGTGAATGATAAGGTAAAGCAATTGTTAAAAATCTTTTCTTTTTTAGTTTTACCATCCCATTCTGTTTCCTTGAAAAGTAACTACTGCGTTCAGTCGCGACAACAAAATAATCTCTACTGAAAATTTACTCCCTAAATATTGTTACAGTCCAACAGTCAAATTTGTAATTAAAAGTACTTCAGTTCATTTTGATTATGTCCTAAGTGTCTGAGTCAATTTTTGCTCCTCTGTGTCCTTCAGATTTCGAGAAATAATTTTCGTCCACCTAGCGAAGCAAAATTGACCACTGTGTGACGCTTCCCCGTGTAATTCCGCGCGATCGCCTTGATTGTGATCAGAAGGCGAGAAGAAAGCCGCAATATCAGCGATGGCCGATGCCAATTAGCAACCAGTGCACTCTTCTGGCGAAGGTGCGCAATTCAGTTGGTCCAACGCGCACCTCGAGGCGAGCGTAGCTTCCGTACCAGAGGTTATTTCTACGTGTTAAAACAGAAAGGCGACAGATTTTGCAACTAATGAATTCGGGCCGGGTGTTTCTTATGATAAGCGGGTCTCAGATTCTGATGACATGTCATTTTTTCATTGGTGCATTGTAGTCGTAACTAACTTGTACATCAATGTACATCATCAGGACATGTTGGTGATAAAAATGTATAGATATTAGGAAATTTTTTGTCATATTTTGCCATTTTCAATTTGTAGGTCATTTTCTCAACCTTTACCTCATTATTGTCATTTTCCAGCATTTTGTTTCCTTTTCGTGTTTTTTAGTGAATGTTTCATGAAATTACAATTTGGTAATGAAGCTGTGTAAAATTTATAAATGCTCCAACTTTCTACATAAACTTATTAACCCTAACCTTAACACTATAAATGCTCCGACATAAAACCAGTTGTATTAATCCTATCATCAAAGTTAAAAGTTTTCTCCTTGTAGTGAGCGTTTTATTTATTTCCTAGTAAAATATGTTACAAAAAATTTAAATGTTTTATGTATAAAGGGGTCCCAAGAATAGGAAAGCAAATTTCAAGAACGTTTGAAAATATATTTCGTGCACTCTCACAGTTTCTTTATCATCCGTTAAGTTGATATTTCTAGGACCTGGCAGTGAAAACTTTTTACGATAAACAACTTCGGTAAAAATGCGCAGATGTGATGTACAGAACACGCTTAAGGCAACTAGCGATTCCCGATGACCACTGAGCATGACAACGTTCATATTTCATATACAAAATTGGTTCGTCGCTGGAAAGAAAGATTTTGCCCTCGCTTTCTATGCAGAATGTGATGATGGGATTATAGAAATGAGTAGATTAAGAAGAAACTGTACAAAAAGAGGATGCATCTCGGCAGAAATGTTAATGTTTTTAGTCTCGACTTGTTGCTATGACAACTAATTCTATTGAATGACTTGCAGATAAATCGATTCTCTGTTGTTAAGCGCGTTATTGGCCGTGAATGCATCAAAACGATCAGTTTTAGTTCCAATGTTTGTCATTCATTCTAGAAAATTGGCATGAAATTCAGCGTAATTTTGCCGTAAAATTACAGTTTCCCATCACCATTACAAATAATCCATATAATTTATTTTGGGGTTACAGGTGCTCTACACACGATTATATCTACAGTAGTATTGTGGTTGAGGGGAGGGTGGCACCTTCATACTCGCTTAGGATGCCACTGATTCTTGATATGTTATCTTTTGCAAACCCTATTATACACTGATATTTATTAAACCTTTAAAGAAATGAGTATATTTTTTTCATTTCCTTCAAAGCATTACTAGTACGTCAAAAATGTATCTTCTCTCAAGATTATGACGAGAAAAAGATTCAATATGCTTCCGTCCTGTCGTTATGTGTGGAGACGAATATTTCAACAGTATTACAGTAAAATCTGTCCACATCGGAACCTGTACAAGCTGATTACCTGCCCATAATCGAAAAAATATCCGGCCCCGTGAAGTTATGTAATTTTACACCAGTATAAAATGAAACCTTCCAACGAAACTGTTTCTCATGAAAGAGATGGGCTTTAGCTGTCAGCGTAGAATTTGAACTTAGGGTACTTGTCCCCCAAGGCCTTAGGCCCATAGGGGAATTCTCTTCTCTCCTCTCTCTCTCACTCTCTCTCTCTCTCTCGCTCTCTCCTCTCTCTCTCTCTCGATTCTCTGACGTGGGAAGAGTGTACGGCGCATGGCTTCTATTCAACGTGTCTCCTACTTCCCGCCAAGGGAAAACCACGTTACGGAGTAGTCTGGGTTCTGGTGGGGAAACAGCATACGATTATCCAGACCCTGAGCTTCGTGGCGTTACTCACGTCGATAATCTAAGAATAATCACTGTGAGTAGTATGGTTGCCACCGACTCTTGCGCGAGATTGGGGTACTTTAGCCAGAAACTCCTACGCAGCAGGGCGGCGTATCTCAAACCCACGTTTAAAAGTCCAGATGAGTACACGAACTTTCCTGTCGGGGTCGCACATTCTCCGGCCGACTCACGTCGATAGCCTTAAGTAAGAGGCAGAGAGGAGATGAGTTGGTGCCCCCAGCCTTCTGGCTTTCGATCCGGGGACCCCAAGCTGGGCATTTTGCTACGTCGTGTCAGTAGCCCGATTCTCCATGTCAAGAGGAGGGACTTACCCCGGCGCACGTGAGAGGTGCATTGTTTAGATTCCGGTACTAGCCTGAGCTAGTACGGTATTAGCTCTGAGCTAGCAGGACGGGCCGACCCAGACATGGAGACAGCATCCCGGTGATATCCGGATACCAGCCCGTCGGCGTACTTGGGCGGCGAAAGCTTTGGTGCCCACCCCGGGGTTAACACCCTACTGGTAGAATAAGCTTTTGTGTGGTGTTGTAGACCACGCAGGACGCAGGGTCCATACTGCTCCGCGCTGAAAATCATAACCCTTCAACCAGAAACACATTGCTCAAAACCATATGAGGGTATCAGAAAGTAATAGTTCTGGCTTGTGACGCATTGGGCGTTGAAAGAGTAAGCAAGCAGTCCGAACACAGCACTCAGTAAGGTGGTGTGAATTTTTCAACTGAGTAGCTGTCAGTAAAGTGATTAATACTCATTTACTAGTGATTTCTTCCATAAATACGTTATATGTTAATGCATTTTGATATTTATAATAATGTCATTTAATTGAGTCCTTTGGGAGCAGAAACAACAATATCACAAGTGTCATAAAATGGCCAACCTTGCATAAAACGGAAACCTCGTAAACTGGAATTTTTTGTGTCCCGATCGATTCCGGCTTAGACATATTTTACTGTACTAGAATATAGAGGGGTTATAATAAGAAGGGATCGCTTTGACAACTACTGCTTGGCCACAGTTGGCAATATAACTATATGTAAAGTCAATGCACTCGTTTTGTCAGTGCTTTCGTTTACAGTTAGCCCATTTGTAAAAGAGTTCATCACTATTCTTGTAATGCCATCATCCTACATGACGTTAATTTATTTCCCCTCCTGTCAAAGTGGTCCCTCCCTAGAGTAACTCCTGAACTCCTCTGTAACAGTATCTAATCTTAGAGTACAAGATGAGAGAGTCTGGAGAGGGCATGCCACCCAGCACGCGATGGCACATTGTTCAAAGAAACGTCGTCGCGCGCGTGTTGCAGTGTTCATCCTGTGCTGGAGCCCCTACTTCGTGTTCGACCTGCTGCAGGTGTACGGCCACGTGCCGTCCACGCAGACCAACATCGCCGTGGCCACTTTCATCCAGAGCCTGGCGCCGCTCAACTCGGCCGCCAACCCGCTCATCTACTGCCTCTTCTCCACGCACATCTGCCGCACGCTCAGGTCGGCACGCGCACGCACCCCCCCCCCCAGCGCACGCCTCCCGTCCACGTCACGCCTCCCGTCGGTGGCGTTTGCGTTGTGCCAAGCGGATTTTACACAGAGCGCCGGGAAATCTCTCCGCACCGAACCAGAGTCAAGGTCTCCTATTAAAAATTGCATTAATATTGGTAGCAAACACGTCACTGGGAAACAAGTGAACGCAACAACAGTCATTTATTATGATTGTTGTGAGCGCGAAATTTACATTTTCAAGCTGTAGTTCTAGCTACCAACATAATTTCTGTAACATGTGCAAACATTCCCACAAGCAAGGTCCCACCGCGAAGAGACTTTCCTGGCGCAATATTGCTTTCAGTTGTTATAAACGTCACTAGGCAAAAAACGGGTCTGTTATTTGTGTTATCGGTCGGGTTTTGTTTAATACTATTCGAAATACATGTTCTTATAATAATAAAAGCATGCAAACAAGAAATACCATTTCTTGGAATAAGTGTACAAAGCAACTTCCGCAGAAATGTAGATATTTCTTGCTATGACAACGAATGCTGTAGAATGACTTTCATATAAATAGATTCGCAGTTGTTAAGCACATTATTGGCCATGAAGGCATGAAAACGATCAATTTTAGTTGCAGAGCGGGTTATTCATTCTAGATATGCTGCGTCCCCATGTGTCAACTTTAGCTCTAGCAACTACAACTCTGTTCTTAACGGACGCTGAACTGTTAAACCCTTAATGTATACCGACCGTTAAGAATAGATTTTCGTTCATCTGTTTGGTTGCGTTAAATGGATAATAACATTAGTGAATTACGGAAAGAAAATAACAAGTCATAATCTACAAGAATCTATTACTAAATCAATAGTTCTAAAGGTGGACCTCCGAAACTAGAGACAGTAAATAGGAACAAATGTAGATCTGCTTTCTTCGGTAATTTTTGTGGGGTATTTTCATTCACACACACGTCACGGAATGATCATCTGTTTAAATGTCCAATGAGCGCGCATCTCGAATTCGTAATGCATCTGCAATGCAAATGTATCAAAGTATTTTGAGTGCAATCGGGATTCGTTGTTAACGAGGATTTCATTTAAATTATGTTGACAGCCGCAATTATCCTCAGAAAACTGTTTAATCTGCGTTTAAATTGTGGGAAACTGAATTTGAATCATCAGATAACACTCTTGAGAGCGAAAATTGATTTCTGAGTTGTTAAGACCTGGTAGAGAAGGAAGTTGTTAGTTAGGTCCACTAGATTTATTAGGGATGTTGCAATTCTTGCCTATGATGGAGATGTTTCTTTCATTGGCGGAACATAAATTAAGTACAATAAAAGGGGTCTCCAAAACGGTGGACTTGGAACATGACTTAAACACAGACGATTGCGTGCACATGGTATTACAATGTTAGCCGAACGGACTCAGAAGATAATAAATAATTGCCTGTAATTAGCTTATAGTAATTTTTAACCCTTCGCATATCAAGCGGGGCACACGTGTACCTTTAATCTCACCAAAACTAGCGGCCAGCTTCTCTGATCACTAGCTTTGCGTGGTGTCTCCTATCATCACTAGGCGAATGCCGGAGTAGTTAACTTAACAAACGGGCCACAAACCGCGAGAGATGTTTCCTCTTCCTTGTCCTATATTTAACCCTTTCTTACACGCACTTATACACATTCACTACACTATCACACATGCCGGATAAACATTCGAGATTTTAGTGTTTGTTCCGGCTGGGTTACTGCCCCTCTGGTGGGATGAGAAAACCCCGCTAGGAGAAACTATTTTTATAAATATAATGATGAGTTTAGAAAGAAAGGAATTTAAAATTCGCAATAAATTCACATAAATGAGTAATGACGTTTGAGTACATTAGTTTGAATGAGGAAATGCCTACCACCCATTTCAAAATAGGCGCAAGTAGACAGTACAGCATGACAAGTACACAGTGTAATGCGGAGTAGTTCGAGCGCAGCAGCTGTGTCCTTGGCAGTGACCAGTCGTTCACTTGCCTTGCAGAGATCGTTCCTCGAGCAATCAAGCAAAGAAGTGAAACTTGGCTCTTCTCTTGGAGGATTTCCACAATTCTCCTCGAAGTTTCTTTTCAAGCATAGGTTTTGTAGAGATCTTGCAGATCGCCCCAAAGTGTGCTTGTTAGGGCAACAAAGAAAGGTCTAAACTCAAAACGATCGTTAAAGAAGTAGCAATGAAAGAAAGGAAGACAAAATACAATAACCAAAAATAAACTACGAAAGTAAGTTCATATGCAATAAAAACAAAACCCTGACGTGTGAGATAACAGGAGCAAAAATAACAGAGAATAACAGGAAGAAAAGTGATAAATTAGAAAAATAAAATTGGCAACACCAAACTCTAGGTAAATGAAAAGAAAGAAAAAATACAATGATCATGAAATGAAGGCAATTTAGTGAAGTAGGTACCGCGAAAGTATAAATTCACTGGCGTATTAATATTGACTTGCATATTGATATGGCGAGTGCAATTAATTTCAAACTTTTGATCACAAAACAGCGTTCTATTTCGCGGACTCGTTAAATTGCATTTGTTCTTTGTGTTTCTCTTCATTGGACACCGAATGGGTTTACGCACGACAGCAACAGTTGAGTAGTTTCCAATACATCCACTTCCAGCGCTGTGACCTGTATAGAACGATAATTCTCTAAAGAATGCAGTTTGATCTGAAATTGTTTGTTCCATATGGTTCAGTGAAAACCGGTGTATTGATTCTCGTTCGTATAGCTTGCATGAGAATTTTGAAAACAATTTCCGACCGAACAGTAATATCTCACGTAATTGTAAACGAATTTGGTAACGTTCAATGTCAATATTTGGAATTATGGTAATAATAATAATAATAATATTAATAATAATAATCTAAACGCTTCGAGAAGATTAAGTATTCATTTATTTACATTGATGTGTTTTAATTATAATAATTTGTTGAGTAATTCATCAGAAAATGATTAGTTTTTATTGTGTAATAAAAACATTAATAAGTATAATTAATTCTTATTTAATGCTGTGAGTATGACAGGCGAATTGACTCGGAAATCTCTCGAATCTCGGCCGAGAGCGTAGCCAATGGGCCGTGAGCGTTAGCGCGGGAGCCCCCGCACGTTCGCCTTTAACTGTCCTCAACCCGGGATGACGAGGCGGGCTGTCGAGAGGGTGCGGGGCACGGTGGAGCGGGGTGGACGTAGGTGGTTGGGGTGAGTGAAGGTGCGGAGGCGTGGCAGAGCGAGCGGAGTTGGACGAGGTCGGTGCGGAGTGGGCGGGAACAAGCGAGACTGGGCAGTCCGAGGTGGCAGGCGGGAGGTGGAATGAAGGGCAGAATCGAATCCGTCAAAACGTGGGCGGTGCACGACGGCACGGGGTGAATCCGGAGAGGACAGGAGAGAGGACGTGGCGCGGAGGAGATCGCGTAAGCGAGGTTGGACGAGGAAGTGCGGGGCGGACCAGTCGTGGTGGGGGCGGTGGGCGGGGAACGATGACACGAGATGAAGATGGAGGAGGGGAGGAGGGAGATCACGTAGCAGTACTGGAACCGAGGAGGAAGCGGGGCGGAAAACCGGAGAGGGGCGAAACTAGCCGTAGGTGGTGGCAGGGTTTTGGACTGGGAAGAGCGGGACGAAAGTACCATAGTTGGAGGGACGCGGGTGGAAACGGGAGAGAAGGACGTAGGACGGTTGATGGAGAGGAGATTGCGTATTCGCGGAGCTGGACGAGGAGTGTAAAAGGGGCGGACTAGTGTGGTAAGGCGAGGTGCGCGGGACGGTGCGATGGAGCAGAACGCGTGCATACTGGACAGGTCGGGGCCGGAGGAAGAGGCGCGGCGCGTGGCGGGGAGAGTGTAGCGAGGGAGGAAGATCGCGAGGAGGGCGGCTGAGCCAGTCATATTGGTAGTTTTCTAAAGCAGGGACGAAATCAGGTGTGCGTTTGAGTGAGGCGACGAGACGGAGGTGGGGGGCGCGGGCAGTTGCGGCGAGGAGCGGAGAGCGGAGCGGAGCTAGACGATGATGAGCGAAGGCGATACTGAGCATGCAGACCAGTCAAAATGGGGTGGGTTTGTGCGGGGAGAAGTGGCACGAAGGGAGGCGGGGCGTTTGGACGGCGGGTCCGCGCGCGCGCTGCGGAGCGGTGCGGGTCGACGGGTATGGGAGTGAGCTGGTCGACACGAAGGGAGACGGAGAGTTGCGAAGGCGCGGCCGCAGGGAGAGCCAGGCTGAGCGAAGTGGGTGGGCCGAGGCGATCCTGCTGTGAGAGTGTGGAGTGGGTTGAATGTTGTGGTGAGGTGGAGAGGAGCGGGTGGGCGTGAAGAGCCACCCGAGTCAGAGACGATGCTTGGCAGAGCGGGGTAGAACGGAGTTAGCGAGCGTACGAGGCCTGGCGGTGACGGGGCGGGGCGGAATGAACGCCACGGTAGCATGTCGAACAGGAGCGGGAATAGGAGGGCTAAGAGAGGCGGATCAGTCGTGATGGAGGGCTAGTCGAAGGCAGAAACGGTGCTTGGCGGAGTGGGGTAGAACGGAGTTGCCGGAGAGGTGGATTGCCAGTCGTGGTTATAATGGGGCGGGGAGGGGATAAGTGGACTGTTGGGAGGAGCAGAGCGGAGGAACAGAGGCCTGAACGAGGCGACGGGGGTGGGGTGACGGGGAGGAGCGGGTCGCAGTGCGGCGACGGCGGTTGGGATGGAGCCCGGCAGGAGGGCCGTGGCTTGGCAGGGAGGGTCCAGGCAACGATGAACGAGTTCACCGGGGAATGTGTGTGACACGCAGCGCCGCGTGCGGAGTCGCCCAGCGCATATAATGTCCCTCCGCGCGCCGCCGGTTGACTGATGGCGCGCAAGTAAGAATGAACTCAATTACCAGCCAGGAGGACGCCAAATTTACGATGTCCAATAAAGGGGGACGGCCCGCCGAACGCCACACGTGCGTCCACAGAAGCATTTCCTCTCAATTTTGCGACTTCACACCAACA